GAGGTTGTGGAATCTCGATCTCTGGAGCTATTTAAGAGTAGGTTAGATAAATGTCTATCAGGGATGGTCTAGACAGTATTTGGTCCTGCCATGAGGGCAGGGGACTGGACTCAATGATCTCTCGAGGTCCCTTCCAGTCCTTGAATCTATGAAAATGCAGGCAGTGTTGTAGCCCTGTTGGTTCCAGGATATTAGAAAGGCAAGGAGGGCCAATTAAAGAAATTACCACCACCTCCTTGTCTCTCTTACTTCAATATGTAATGCTGGCATAGATGAAAACCACAACCTCCATCCTCACAGTTGTTCCTTCTCTGCAACCATACAGTATTCTGTTGGGGTGCTCTTAATCATGACTACTATACTGGGATATCCCCTATGGAACCAATTTAGCTTTGTGTTAGTGAATGGCAATGACTGCTGCTTAATTGGATGATTGTCCAATTTTTGCTGCATGTGTAGAGAAGAACAAAATCAGACTGCTTGTGGAAAGGGGAAAGGGAATCGGGGGTGGGGGTGGGGGGGAGAATGGTAAATAGCTATTCTGCCCTCTTAACTGCAGCATAATTTGGTATCCAAGATACTTGAAGTAGTAGAAACTCTCCCACTGCAGTTTTGGCATTAGCTATGCTATGAAATTTTATGAAAACTGGGTTAGTTGCATCAGTGGGGATATCTATTTGAAGTCCTTACACAGAGGTTAGTGCTAATGGGAGGACACAGTCAATGGGAGTATAATAGGAGCAGTTGCTGAACTGCTGTGGGGTGTACAGAAGAGCGGAGATCTACAGGACCTGGCTATTATATTTCTGTGGATCATATTCATCTAGAAAAACCATCAGTCACTTGTGGTTCTGTCATTAGTATTGCCTTTAGCAGATGAAGAAGCTACAAAGATTTGAGGAAATATAGTGGCAGACTTGGAAAAGTAGGATTCCCCTTCCATGTGTTTTTACTAACAAAAGGTAGCATATATGGCAATATTTAAAAACTCTTAGGCCCTAATCCTGCAAACACACCTGTACTAAACTTTATTACCATGAGTTGTTAATATCCAGGTAACGATAGTTAGCCAGGTGTTAAAACTTCACCTTAAGCACTGTCTTTGTAATACAGAAGTTGCCAATAAATATTAAAATAAGATTAAGTAAAGATGAAATTGAGTGATTGAACAAAAATACAAGAATAAAAATGTTAGTGCTGTATTTTATAAGATTTAGGCATATTTTTAAATGGCTTTTTCTTTTAATTGGAATAGCCACTTAACTAGGACTATGTAGCTTGTTCACCAGGATGTTTGAATTAAGAGAATTATATTTTTATAATTTTTTTAGAAGACAATAAATGGGTATGTGTAGAAGATGGAATTAATTAGCCAAAGGGAACTTTAATATAGATTTTTTTAAAAAGGCCTAGAGTTAGGTAAAGAATAGGTGATGGTGTCTTAATTTTTTAAATTATATCTGTTGAATACTGTGCTTTCTACAAAACCATAAAGACATACCTGCAACTTAAATTCCTTATATGAGATAATGACTATACTCCTTTTTATAATACTTGAAGTTTTAATAATAGATGGGTTAAATAAAAGTTAAGGATCTAACACTGACTTTCTTCTTACTAGAGAAGTTCAGATTTCAGCCCTGATCCTGCAAACCCTTTATGTATGTTCTTAGCTTTATACAGATGAGTAGTTCCCAGAGGTGAAAATCAGCCGCTACAGTCTGGTACGACATACCGGCAAGAGCCAGTACTCTGTGCCAGACCAGACCAGCTTCCCCAGGATGGCATTTTAAAGGGCTGTGGCTCCCTGCAGCGGTTGGAGCCCCCAGCCCTTTAAATCGCCTCCCGGCAGCCAGGCTCGGGCGGCACTTTAAAGGGCCCAGGGCTCCTGCTGCTGTGGGGAGCCCATTAAAGCGCTGCCGTAGCCCTGCCGCCTACCCCGAGGCTCAGGCGGGGATTTAAAGGGCTCGGGGATCCTGCTGCTGCGGGGAGCCCTGGCCCTTTAAAGTGCCCCCCCAAGCCCTGCTGCCGCTACCCCAGGGCTCAGGCAGCCAGGCTCGGGCAGCAATTTAAAGGGCCCGGAGCTCTACTATGGTAGCGGCGGCCAGAGCCCCGGGCCCTTTAAATCGCCCCCTAGCCCTGGGGCTCCTAGCCACCTCTGCAGCCGGTAGCTCCGGGGGCATGATTTAAAGGCCCCAGGCTCCCAGCTGCA